CTGAGCTGCAGCACCTTCTAACTGAATCTAAAAGAATATGCTATGTTATAATCTTTTCTTCTGCTTTGAGGAATACCTGATTTTTTTAAGTGCTGAGATTTTACATATGCTAAAAACAATTTAAAATAATTATTGTGAAGATTTTAGATTTAAGAAACTCATTTACCTAATATTTCCTGGTTTAGATGGGCAGCTAAACCAGGAATTCCCAATTGGATGGTCCACCCTGAGGATCTGCCTCCAGGGGCAAACCAAGAATGAGCAACTTGGAAGTCCCTGAACAGACTCAGAAGTGGAGTGGGCAGATCGAAAGACAATCTGGCAAAATGGAACTACAATACCTAAATGAATCCTCCACCTTGTGCAACTAAGGAGCAGAACAAACAACTTCACAACTGTATGTGTGTCCACAATGCCCTGCCTCATGAACAGAGGAAGAATTGTTTTAAGCAGGGGTCCTCAAACTTTTTAAACAGAGGGCAAGGTCACAGTCCCTCAAAGTGTTGAAGGGCTGGATTATAATTTGATTTTAAAAAACATGAATGAATTCCTATGTACACTGCACATATCTTATTTGTAGTGCAAAAAAAAAGCCCACTTAAAAACAATACCGTAATTAAAATGAAGAACAATTTTAACAAATATAAACTTATTAGTATTTCAATGGGAAGTGTGGGTCTGCTTTTGGCTGATGAGATAGGATTGTTGTTGTTGTTGTGTGGTTTCAAATCGTTTCAGACTTCAGTTGACCCTGAGCGAGGGCCGGATAAATGAACTTGGAGGGTCGTATCCGGCCCCCGGGCCTTAGTTTGAGGACCCCTGGTTTAAAGCTATAGACAATGTGGTTGTTTTGGTCAAAAACTATTTAGCTGCTTGCATTCCTTCTATTTTTATCAGTTTTATACTTATGTATGCAATGCTTTTGACATGAAATAAAAATAACTTGATATTTTATTGAGCTATTTCTGTACAGAGGTGTGGAAAAGTTTCCATCTCAAAGTAGTAAAAGCATTTCTCAGGTACTTTTGTTAAAAAGGGAGTAAATTAAGAGTAAATAGTGTTCCCTCACATAATGAGGCCCTATCCCATAGGACTGAAACATACGGTCAATTCAACTCAGTTCATTGTACTCTTGGCAGGAAATATGTACAGCAGGGATTTTAGAACCATAATTATACATGCGCAACCCCACTGCAAATATAGGCTGCTAAAAAAAGGCTTTGTCTTTGATCAGAAGAGATGTAGCATGAATGCAATGGTGTGTGCTGTCAAGGATAAGAAAAGTTCGAGACAGTACCTTTGTATTATCATGGTGTGTGCTTTTCACATGCTGTAATCCCAAAGCATGTTTCGCATTGCAACCTTGATATGTTTTCACTGAACAAACAAGGTCCTTTTAATTTATTTGATTTATTAGTTAACAAAAAGAAAAAGAATACAAATAATACCAGCTTTCTTGTTTGAGAAGCTCTAGTCACTTACAGATGATAAAACAAGAAGATGTGCACATGTCTGGAACCTATTCCATGCATTGAAATTGTTAACTGTGCTTTGATGCAGTTGGTTAACAAGACCATTTTTTTTTTAAAAAAGAAAGAAAATAAGAGAAAATAAATAATTACTTTATTTCTGGAATTATTTAGCTTATCTATAAACTAGTAGGTATGAATCCGGAACATAGAAGACAAGCCTTCTATGTCCTTGGACCAAAATATTCCCTTTTGGCCAGCCCAGAAGTGAAAAGGGTTGAGGAAGCTGTGAGTTTGGCTTACACTATGTAACACGATTTTTGTTCCTGGGTTATAAATGTCATTTCTTGATACTATCATAAAACAAAAAAAGTTTATTAAACTGCAAAATATTTGTTTTTGTGGGACATCCTGCAGCACATTTTGCTATAGTTTTTCGATGAATATCTCATAGAGTCTCAACCAATACAACATAGTTTGTGGCAGCCATAAAAACAAAGTTTTTGGAGTATAACAACTACTTTCAAAGGAACTACTACACAATTAAACTGGAAATAACACTTTCAAATCAGAAACAGATTTTTTTCCAAATTTTGTTACACATAGTGTTATCAACAGTACCCTGTTCTTCAACTTAGTATTAGCTCTTTTAGAATGTTAGCTTCAGGGCATGAGCTGCCTTACTATGAATATTTTATTTCTTGACTACAGAGATAGATAAAATGGCTTGAATAAAATCAAATAGTACATTAGCCACTGAACTACAGCAACTCCTAGTCTTATGGGGGATATCATCATGGGGAGAAAAATCCATGCAATTATTCCATAGGTATTGGGTTTTGGTTTTTTATTATTCCTGTTTAAAATGGTTTTCATCATTTAAAAGGAAGTGTTGCAAAAGAACAACCAGTCCCATCAAATAAAAAAAGATGCAATCACACAAAAGTCTTTCCAACAATAACAACAACAAAAAAGCCAGAGGCCCAATCTTCTGGGAAGATTTTGTACTCAATCCCCAATTAGACAAATGGGAGCTGTACAAGAAACCTTACCATTGGTAAGTGTTTTTCGTGTGGCTGTAGTTTAATGTCATGAAGCAGGATCACATTTTAATCACAGGAAAATGTCACAGACCTCTCATTTCACTGTGAAAATGTACCTGTAAAAATGGATCAAAATTGACCATGGACCACCATGTCACCCTAAGCGAAATCACTGTTAAAAGACAGGGGATCTTTTTCCTTCTTGTAAAAAACTGCATTCCCCTAGAGGAAATCTGTCTTGAACAAAATGCATATGATGGTGGATTGGAGCTGAAATAGGCAGGAACAGAATTGGAAGTGAGTGCAAAACTAACTTTTCTTCCTCTTTATGCCACTCTTTCTTCCTTACCATATAGAAAGAGGCTTAGGAAGGGGTAGAATATTCTTTACAGAGGCCTCATACAACCTTAAACCACCAACATGGGAGAAAGGTGGGAGGAAATAATAATAATAATAATAATAATAATAATAATAATAATAATACAAAGACTCTGGCACTCAAGGTGGTCCCAGTGGTGATCAGCACACTGGGTGCAGTGCCTAAAGACGTTCGCCTGCACTTAAACACAATCGGTGCTGACAAAATTACTATCTGCCAGCTGCAGAAGGCCACTTACTGGGATCTGTACACATTATACGCCGATACATCACACAGTCCTAGACACTTGGGAAGTGTCCAACATGTTATCCAATACAACAGCCAGCAGAGTGATCTTGTCTGCTGTGTACTAATCTTTTTGTGTTTCAAATAATAATAATATAGCTGGCCTTCTACATTTACAGTTTTGCCTTTTGATTATTCACAGGTTTGATTTGAATGTTTTCTTTAAGTCCTTCAATGTGATTCTACACTCAGCTTCCAGAGTCATGCTGGAAGGCGTAGTAATTCCTCAAAGTGTTCTATTCCAGTAAAAGAGGTGCTTATTGAGATTTATACTTTTTTTTATATGTCTTTTTGTTGGCTTTGGATGTTTTCCATATATGTTGGAAACTGCCCTGAGTTCCTTTGGGGAGATAGGGTGGTCTATAAATAATAATAATAATAATAATAATAATAATAATAATAATAATAATAATAATTCAAGAAACACAATAAAATGACAATATTTTTATTTACAGTTTTTCACTTTCACCAGAGTCCTATAGCCCTAACCCCAATGAATGTGGAGGGCTGACTGCAATTCCAAAGATTTCCTATTCTTTTTATTGCTTTGTTCATTTCAGCAATGCATTACTTACCACCAGAGTTTCACCTGTTTTTATTTGATTGATATGCTCTTCTTCCCTTGGACTCCCATTACACACACAATTTATGCTGGTATATCCTATAAGGTTGCCCACACCTAGATTAAAATAATACCTCATTTGGGTTTTCCAGAATCAGCCATGGCTGAAAATAATATTCTAGAATTATTGGAATATTTTGTATGGGCATTTTCTGAAAAGCAACCAAAAGCAAGGAAATAATGGCGACAAAGGGTAGTGTGAATACTGCTGTCAATCCCCTACTATATTCTCTTGAGTGGCTTTAGTGAGAGATAAGAATTATTTGTACACTAAAAATAGTGTATTTCCATTTACAGATTAGTCTGAACAAAAGATCTATTTATGTGGTTTAAGCCAAAAGGACAACAGCAGCATAATGACATAATCTCCCATGGCTAATCTCTCCTCATGTCAAGTGGCAAATTTGTCTTGGTTTGAGCATTTCTGAATAACACACATTATCCAAACAATGCCCATCCTGTTGCACCTTGGGCTGGACACCGGAAGGTGAAATGATTGTACAAGATCACTTACTAATTGGCTCAAGGGCCAGCAGCCAAGTGCACTTGTACAGAAACTAGGAAACAATGCAATTCATTCATTCAATTACAGTGTGAAAAGGAAACGGTTTTTAAATGGCTTAAGAGGGATGCAACTGTGAAATGTTATGCATTGGAAAACAAATACCAAAACCGAAAGTGGATTTTAGCATTTCAGTCAAATATTTTGCTAAAAATGAAAGAAAAACCCTGCAAGCACAGAATGTAAATAATGTTGTGATCAAGCAGGTTGTCATTAATCTGTCGTTAAAGCAATTCACCAATGGTACCTATATAAAGGACAAACAAGATCAAAATCCTAAACAAGAGTTCAAATTTTCTAAAATCTGTAAAACGTTGGATGTGGAAGGCTTTGTCTTTTGCCCAAGATAACAGATGGATCCTGCAAGAGTAACATGCTAGACTCATCCTATGATATACAAATATGTACAGTATAGGCTAGATACATTTGTCTGTTGGCAGGTGAATATTTTGTACGAATCTGATACAATACTTCAGGTTGTGCATATACTTCAGGTCCTTCTAATTGTACAATACTTCAGGTCCTTCTAATGTCAAGATTCTTGGTCACCTCAGGTATCATGACACCCATGACCTTAGAGGTAATGGAAACCCATCAGGGGAGATTCAAGTGAGCATACAGGAGTGGCACAAAGCCTTACCTTACTGCAGCAGCCATGCTTCCAATAGGATTTATTGGCAGTGGTCTAACTCCGGGGAAGATTCCTCTACTCAAAATACGAGCTCCATTCTGTATCACTCCTGGAGGAACTGAAGGCACATAAGTGGGAGAAAGAAAGAGAGGGAGATAGAAAACATTAGAAGCATGTAAACAGGAACTACTTGCTGAACAAATAGTTTTATATTAAAAAGGAAAGAAAGGAAAAAGGGTTTAGTTTTATAAAAACTTTATGGAACAATTAAACCTGCAAGGAACATTGAATGTGCAAAGTTTAGCAGCATAAAGTCATTGCAAGTTAACCAAAGTAACCAACTGGCCTATGGAAAAAGATCGATTCCTGGTAAATATACTCACAATGCAATGCAATGCATGCAACCATCACCAAGTTAGAAAAAGATGTGCAAAGATGTACATTTGCTTAGAGTTGAAGCATTGTCTGGAAAGCCATTATCAGTCAAATTATATACTCCTGGGCTACTATAAATCAAAGTAGTCTCATTTAGAAAAAAAGTCAATCATGCATATCTTATCTCATTCTCACTCTCCTAACTTAGCACAAGGAAATAAAAATTCTAGCAAAGCTTACAAAGTATGTTACAGGTCTGTTTGAAGGACTAATGGAACAGCAATACAAAAATGTGAGCATATTTGCACCAATACCCCACCCCATCCTTCAGCATCCCACTGTGTCACTTCCAGAGTGTCACCGTAAGTTTTCATTGTTAATTTGTTAAATCTGTTTTGTTAAATTTTTCAATAATGGTTTAAAAGTTTGTTATTTTAATTGTTAACCATGAACAGTGTTACATATGAACAATCATCAATCCCTTTTATGACTTTAATTCAACAACTGTTGCTTTTGTTGTTGTTAATTTATCAATTTAGTCAACTAAATTAAATTAACATTAATTTATTTAGTTTACTGAATTGCTACATTAAATCTAACATTCAATTGTTACTGAACTACTGATAACACTAATATGACTGATGTTTCAGTCATTTTACATGCTGTTTTCATTGATATCCTAACCTCTGAAGATTTTTTATCTGGGAACATAGTAGACAGGAGAAATCAGCAGACATTTCTTCCTGCCTTCTTCCAAATGGACCTGCACTCATAGAAACTCTAGATCTATTCCCATATGTATAAAATATTTTAAATATTTTAGATGTAGTACATAAATGCTAAGTATGTTGTTATGAAGCAAGAAGACGTTATTCCAGCCAGCACAGAAAAGCTTTTGCAAAATACACAAATGGTTTAATCCAGCTCAAAGAGAAGCAATGTAGTGCTTGAGCATGACCCAGCAAAACAGAAAAGCTTCCTGTTATTATATCTTCTAAAAACTTTATCTGATATTGCAATCCCTTCTTTAAAAGCCAGAGACACATGAAGTCATATTAAGCACATAGCATTAGTTAGGCTTGTGCATTTTGGCTGAACCTCGATCCGTTTCTGCTTCCGAATTTTGGCGGACCCGCAGATCCATTTTTGAGTGTCTCCTGAAAACGGGTGGGTATCTATCAAAGCCACTTGCATGATATCCCAGACTGCTCTTTAAGGGTCCCACAATCTTCATACAAGGTATGTGGGTGTGTAAACTCAAGGGGTCAAAGGAAAATAAAGGTACGCTGATGTGTGATTAGACTTACGTCAGACTATATGTGTAGTAAGATAAAGAATAATACAGATACAAAGCACAGTAATATGATCATAGACATTACAACATACCAAATATTTGCTAAACATCCTATTTGAAATAATGGCTAACTTAAAAACCATCACACATTTTTACAGATTCCTTGAAAGACAAAGTGCTCATTGTTCTTTGCAGAACCAAAACTTTTGACCATTACCCAATCCTTTCTCCGAGTATTAATAAAAAACAGATAAGCGGAAAAGCAGGATAAGAGGTCTACTAATCACATTGAACTAAAGGACTGATACTTTAGTTGCGGCTGTTAACCAGTGGTACTATCATACATTAACAAACTAGAAGAATGTTTCATTTACTAGGCATCAGTGAGGAAATGCAGCCACATACATCCTATAAAATCTAATCAGGCCACTGGAATTCATTTTCCAGTTGCGATTGCCTCTACTTAATACCAGTGCATCTATGCATTAAATATATGCAATGCAAACAAAGAGTAATTTGTCTTTTGATGCCCCACCATGCTTCAAATATCAGTTGAGAATCTGGAGATAATTTCTAAAAAAAAAAACCCTATATGGTGTTCCGATCAAACATCAGGTCAAACTCATAAAAATGTCTTGTTTGGTTTTCTTCTGTGATTTCAGCAGATATTTTCTCGTATACTACCATTGTACAAGGGGAATCATTTGTGTGGGAAAATGGAATTAGGTTAAAGAAAGCCCAGTAAATCTATTCAAGAGCATCCCATTCTTTCATGGTGAAATGTCGCCTCTTGAGGCTCAGGCTTCATGATGCTCCAACTGAAACAGACATCAAACGCCCCAGGGCTGCTGTTGAACTGTGAACCACTTTTGCACTAATGACATTTGCTTTATTCAGGTGCAGATGTAATGTTCCCAACTCATATAACCACAGTGAGACAATTGGGGCACTGCCTGAATTCCTTGCCTTTATTATTACTGCCACCATCACTACTATCCCTCCTTTGTCCCAACAATTAAACTTAAAGTGACTTACACATGATTAAAAACAGATTAAAACATACAAAATATCAGCATTCTATTTTTTAAAAATTGAAATCCATCTATAGAGTTTAAAATTCATTGAAAGACAAATAAAAACACATGACAGTAAATTCCTGAAAGTGTGACAAAATATCTGCCAGTGGAAGGAAAGCAATCTGGGAGACATACTTGCTTCCTAGGGAAGGAGTTCCAAAGACTGGCAGCAGCTGCCAAAAATGCCCCACCAAACAAATGCCCAGAGGGCATTTTCATTAAGATCTTAGCATCCAATCAGGCTCATATAGGGAAATACAATCCTCCACATTGTCCAAACTTTAACTGTATTGGGCATTGTAGTAATATTAATCACAAAACTTTATTTATATCCCACTCTATTTCCTCAGAGCGGTTACCAACAAAGGCAAACATTCAATGAATACAGCAAAGATAATAGATCAGTGCTTCTCAACCTGTGGGTCTCCAGGTGTTTTGGCCTACAACTCCTAGAAATCCCAGCCAGTTTAGCTGCCGTTAGGATTTCTGGGAGTTGAAGGCCAAAACATCTGGGGACCCACAAGTTGAGAACCACTGCAATAGGTCATAACCAGCATTTTGAATTGTGCCAGGAAAAAAGATCTTTATATAAGAGCATATATTCCTGCCACATGACCATGATTATAATATTCATATGGGATATAACAAAGGTTAGAGTTTCCAATTAACACAGAATTTGTAATCCACATTAAGCTATTGTTCTGGTTGCAATTAGTTCACAACCAAAAGAGGAAAACATGGCATCTGGCTGCTAGCTTGTCTAGTAAGTAAGTGACCACAGTTTGTGTTAAAATGATGTTTCCCGGGCTGTACATAATGATGCGCCAGGAATCAGAAAAAGCAAAGCTGAATCATACTCATGCATTTTTCCATGTCCCTCATACTACGTAATGCAATATAGGGATACTTTGATATTCATTTTCCTGAAATTGGTGTTGTCTTTTGAAAAACTTCCCTAATATTAGAGACATTCATCACAAATGCTCCCCCATTTTCTTATTTGTGATGCTACATGTTTTGTGAGGTATAAATAGCATATATGATATATATGTGGTATATACCCCATAAATGAGAGTAAGTTTAGCCCCATTCGGCTAAAAAATATTGCAATGATTATGCCATAAAGATGTTCTTTCTTTCCCCTATCTTTCTGTTTCAATATCGGTTAGATCTAACATTTTTGTAGAGATCAAAATGGAACTTCCATGCACTCTCCTCCTTACTTAGCCTTCTAAGTAAACTGGCTCTGGAGGACTGTACAGTCTCATCATTTTGAGGGTGACAAAGAGGATGCAGTGAGGAAGGGGACTGTCCTTCTTCACAAGCTCCATCAACCTCTAGTGTTCCACCAGCAGATGTCCACTGTTGGATTCTGCCCCATGACTTTTCTCTGTAGTGTCTTTAAGTCCATTTCTAGAGTAACAGATATTGCCAATAAAACCTGGCATATGCACAAGACAAACTTTCTGGTTTTTGGCATGGTAGGTGACATTAAATGACACAAATTGATATTAATCTTTGAAGGCTGTGAACTCTCTGTGGCTTGCACCTCTGTAGTGCTATTATTGTGTTTTCCCGAAAATAAGACACATATTTATTTTTCCTCAAGAAGACACAATGTGGCTTATTTTCAGGGGGTGTTTTATTTTTATAAAGTATGGTACAATAATTGCATTTATGGGATGAACTCTCTGGGTTCAGTAGCAGACACCTTGCTGAAGCTTTTGCCCTATCCCCTGGTGTTTGTGTGGGGTGAGGGAGACCCACAGACTGTTGCTGGTCAGTGCTGGGGAGCAGCAGCTTTACTGGTGTTTGGGGTGTGTATGAGAGAGACCCACACTATTGCTGGCTGGTGCTGGGGGAGAAAAACCTGCAATGCTGAGTAAAATGGCAGACAGCTTTACTTCTTCCCCGAGGACACACAATACCTAAAGCAGAGCGTCCTACTCCTCACTGCACTGAGGAGACTTTCACTTTAGCTTTCTATGCCTCAGCTTGCAGCACACACAGAACAACTGAACCAACCTTGTACACTGCATAGCCACGCCCATCACTATGTCTTATTTTTGGGGTATGGCTTATATTGCACAAATGCTTAGATTTCCTGCTACAGCTTATTTTATGGGTATGTCTTATTTTAGAGGAAACAGGGTAGAAATAACAATGGTGATTTTGCTTCATATGCAAATGAAAAGGTGTTATACAAATTTAATAATCCACCAAATGTCTGCCATATGTTGTCCCGAACTACCTGTTCAAAACTAGATTATGTATGTTGCCCACCCTAAAGACATCCCATATAACAGACAGGTGTACCATGCAAAATTACTATCTGATCCTAATTGCTTTTGCTTTCCCTCTTGCTTCTATTCT